TTTTGACAAGAAAAAAATAATTGGTTAGTACTTATTATAAAAGTTTAAATAGTCAAATAATCTATTTAAATAATCAATTTGCTTTGCAATTTAACAGTGCTGATAATGTATAAATATTAGTTTATTAGCATTTTATTACTATAATTTAAATTTATAAATATATTTATCAATTATTATGCTAATAAAATGCTAATATCAGCAAAATATTATCAATATTTAAATTATTAAATTTGCTAAAATAATACTAATGATACACTATATATATTGGCATATCTCGAAATTGTTAGATTTACATACCCAACATCAAGGACATTAATTCCTTGTATTAAATCATCTCTAATTGGGGATGAAAAATTCTTTTGCCATACATATCTAAACAAACGATGTCTCAATTTGATTCTATCGATACGTTCATTATCTTCTGGTAAGTCAAATCTTGAACTGTTAACTATGCTGTTATAAGTTTTTTTATCAATTCGACGAAATTCTGCACTTAAATCAAGTTCGTGTTTTGGTCTTGGTAAAGGTTGAGGGGCTACAATAGAGGATCGTCTTTTTAATCGTCTTGTGAAGGAAAATGAAGATGGGTGATATTGACCCATATATTCACTTCGTAATGAAAGAAAGAATGCTTGGTGCAAATGTTTTTTAACCAAAAAAAAAAAAAAAAAAGACTACAATAATAATAATAACACAAATAATATCGAAAATATCAACAATGAGGATTATTATAGTATCAATATTATTGTTGTATTTCGAAGTATTTTAAAAAATTGAATTTACATGATACATGAGGCATTTGAAAAACAAATTTATTTATATAAAAAAAAACAAATCAAAATTTCACAAAAAAAAAATAATAGCATTGACAAAGCGAACAAAATGTTTATTAAGTAAAACGATTATTTAGGCAGCATTACTTTAAAAGGTCCATTAAGAAGTGGGGTGGGAAAAAACAAAGAAACAATAACGTATGTAGCGATAATTGTCTGAATGGAAATAGAAATTCATTGCATATTGTTGTGTGAAAATTATGGCTGATGTTCTTGGCAGTAATATTTGGCAGTGTATTTGGAAGTGTATTTGGCAGTGTATTTGGCAGTGTATTTGGCAGTGTATTTGGCAGTATATTTTGATTGAAAATTACTGAAACCAAAAAGGTTAGTGCCGGAGGAAACGATCATGCGCTTAGTGGCGCCATAGTCATTACATAGTCATACATAGGGTGAGAATTAATATTAGAATAATAATGTATCTTTAACAGGTAATTGTGGATTTGTTTATATGTAAACTTGTAAATAAATACGCGATAGAATCAAGATAATCTGATATGATTTAATTGATAAATGGAGTACATATAATTCGCAGAAAGAATTCCGATAATTTTTATTGGTAACATGACTTAAACAATCAAAGGCTTTGTCCGTTGTGAGAAAAAAATGCAAATGCATCGGGTCAAGCCAACTTATTTACATAATGTAATAATGATTTTCTACTTTAATATTACAAAATCATATTGTAAATCGTATTCATTTTCGTAATAAAAAAAAAATAATAATTTAGTGAATTTATTGATAAATGACGAAAATTATAGAGATTACAAAATATTACACGTGTTCGTTATTCAGAGTAATCTTAGGATATCTTAGGATATCTTAGAATATCTTAGAAGATATTGCAATAAATCAAGAATATCCAAATAATTATCGGAGTTTTACCAAAGTATGTTCGTATGTTCGTATGTTCGCATAAATCAGTACTATGATTCATTACAAGCAAATGACGAGATAAAGATATCATTTAGATGAATCTATTAAACTCTATTAGATGATGAAATTGTGATATAGACTAATATATATTAATATATATTAATATATAGACTAATAAAATGTATCTATTTAAGAGCGATTAACGTAAGAGAACATCTAAATAATTCGTACAATTTCATCTGAATTGTTATCCATTTCATTCTTCCTTACCAACTTTTTAATAATGGGTGACGAAGAGAGACCTTATATGTATGAACCTGAAAGAGAAAGAGGGTTTCCTCTTGTAGATCCCGAAAAAGTAGAAGAACGAAGCTATGATACAACAAGAAATGCTGCACGTATTGTTACTGATGTCTCCTCCAAAGTCTCTTCTAAGATTGGTCAAGTACACATTTTGCAAAATCCGCGCGAATATCTCAGACCAATATTTAATGGAGTTTATTACATTTGGAATCATTTCCCACCTCTTAGTTGGTTCGGTTATGGTGTCATTGCTTTAAATGCTATTCCTGTAGGAATCTTTTTGCTATTTCTGTTTGGTACCACGGCCTTTGTTCTAAGCATTACCGGTGTTGGAATTTTCCTCGCTGAAGGTTTCTTTGTCGGTCTCGGTTTAATTTTCCTTGTTCCTGTTATTTGCGTGATGGGCTTTGCGGCTTTATCTACAGCTTTCTTTACCGTATTTGGATATGTTTGTTATCGCGGATTGTTTTTTATTCTTCGCAACCTTGGTATCGTCGCCGAAGAAGTTGCCGTCGATGCTAAAGCCGCTTTTAGAGGTGCAAAAAAAGCTATGGAAGAAGAAAGATACGGAAGTGAACCTGGTCAATAGTAGTGCTCTTTATCATAATGCTTTAAATGTAAATCGTAAATCTGAACGTAAATCTGAAATGTATTGTTAAGTCGCATTTTATGAATACATCTCTAAAAACATTCTTGCTATATCATCCTAGTTACTCTCTTTAACATTTCTTGTGTCCAAATGACCATCTTAATCCTCTGTGTAATCTTTTGGTCAGCATCATAATAAAATTATGTAATAAAACTATGTATATAGTAAATTTTATTATACATGATTTATTTATTCTACATGCTTAGTTTATTTGTAAAATTTATACTTTATTATGTAGATTAAGGAAATTCGATAAAATAATTCGCTGTCTTTAGTATACCATAGAGATCTTTTCTGCAGTCTTCATTATTATTATTATATTATTATATAGCATGTATTACGTTACATTTTTACTTAATCGTATCGTAGTACCTAACGCTACCAATCATTTTCTCACGTGATATCAGCTTTTGTCGAACAGTTCCCTGAGTTATAGTTATTATCTGTTATATATTTGGTTCTTATTTTATATCAACTTTATAAGTAAACTTTATAAGTAAATATATAATTTTTTAAACGAACGAACCAATTGGACTATCTAATTATAGAATTTCATGTAGATATTTAGCCGTTAAGTTTACGTACGTACGTGCGTATGTATGTATTATAGGTAATGGAATTATGGCATTTCAGCTTACGCTAGAATTAATTGCCACATGCATTTAAGCGCAATTTATGTTGCCACAATACTGCAATATAATATTATAGTAATGTGAAATTTGTTAATTTTACCATCAACTATAAAGTGTATAAACTATAAATGTAACAGTGTAAATTATAAGTACGTACGTACATACAGTATAACGATAATAGCGTACGGTACCTTTAACCTTTAATGGAATTTTATTGAATTCGATTTGTTAATACGTACGTATAAACTCTTGGCTAATCTAATAAATATATGCAAATAAAAGTGCAACATAATTAATAGTTATCCGTCAAATTACTATGATCCACTTTCATTTCATTTTCATTTTCACTTTCACTTCATTTTTCAAAATTTTAAGACACAAATAAGATTTTTTCTCCCACTTATTTTCGAAATACTATACAGAAACCTGGACATCTTAATGCGCAGTAACTACATAGTAACTGTGTAGCAACTATATAGTTACTATTAAATTTAATAGTCACTATGTAGTTTCTGTAAAGTACGCTATTATTTTTAAAATTCTTTAGATAATCGAAGCATGTATAGTAGATTTTCATATTTTGATAGGGCGAAGCAATTGAATCAGTTTTTTACTATTGGATAAGTCGAAACAACTTAGTGAAGTTTCTTTTCGTATTTAAAATTCTCTGGATATCTTATTTGTAATAAAAAAAACTTTTACACTATTGCTTGTTTACATGTTTCGATTTTTATACTTATTTTTTTATTTATTGTTATATACAGGTTACCCCTTTAATATCAACCTAAGCCACAAACCAAATTTTTATATATCAACTTTAATATGATTTCTCATTAATATCACTATCAACATGATTTAAAACAAATTCAAATAGGTTGATACTAACGAGGGTAACCTGTATTTTTAATTATCCCTGTTTTTTTACGTATACTCTCCACGTTATGCCCGATCGTCGGATAATACCGTTATTGGATGCGAAGCATCCAATAAATAATATGCAATATAAGCACAATGTATTTATCTGAAACGAACTTATCCCTGATTGTTTAGCTTTGATTGATCACGCCTTGAACTCAATCTATTTTACTACGTATATCAAATACTATTATCCTCTTTTCATATAAGTGTCGATCTCACCCTATTGGTTCTATTTGTTCTATTTGTTCTATTTGTTCTATTTGTTCTATTTGTTTTATTTGTTACTATTGATGCTAAGAATCTCGATCACCATATTAATATGACAGGGTGAAACCCGCGACAGAGGAGTTACGTTGTTGATGCAGATCTTACTTAGTTAGGGTTAGTGATAG